TTGTGCCTTATCCGCTTATCTCGGATTCCGATATCTTCGGAGGTAACCTCGGCCTCGCTGAGATAACCTCAGCGTCATGACCAGGACACGTGGCATCTCTGGTGACACGTCAGCGTCACCTTAGCTGCGTGTTAGTACTCAGAGAATATATCCCCACACCATTAAATGTAAGAGTTTGAATCCAATACCATAGGAACCACAACTACAGTCCTTTAGATTACAAATATGCAGAGAAATTTGATGATTTAGGGATAGACTGGCTAATTGCTGGAAGGGTGTCATGGATTAAGGCAACATTGTCTAATTTACCAATGTACTACTTGTTTGCTTTTTAGAATGCATGTAACAGTGGAAAATAGAATGGATAAATTATAAAGATGATTTCTTTGCGGGTGGTTGTGAAGAGATTAATTCGGTGAATTGGGAAAAAGTGACAAGAAGAAACGAGTTTGGCGGGTTGGGTGTTATTCCTGTAAGACTAAAGAATTCATCCCTTTGGTCAAAATGATGGTGGAGATTCGGGAGAGAAAAAAAGACTCTTTATGGAGAAAGCTTATTGTTCACAGATATAATGGTAATAGGAATGAATGATCGATCTCATTGCTAATGAGGGAAGGTGTTGCTTCTGGTATATGGAAAGCAATTGTGGAGGTTGGCCAGAGTCTTATGATTGATAGAGTTGGGATAGTGTTAAAATGAAAACTTCAACTTAAAACTGTAAAACAGATTGCAGATAAGGTTTTGAAAGGATAAATGGTCTCATAATTGTTTCTTCAAACACAAATTTTCTGGACTTTTTAAACCTTCTTTGCAAAAAGATTGTAGAGTATGGCTGAGGTCTGTTTGTTTGATGAGAACAACAACATAGTTTGGGATTTCAGATTTAGAAATCTTTATTTGATGAGAAAAAAGAGAATCATGTGGAATATTACTCAACTTATTGGAAGCAGTCCAATTGAGACTCAATTCTGAGGACAACTTAATTTGGAAGAGAGGCAAAGATGGTGTTCATTATTTATTTTTTTTTTGTCAAGTCTTTCTGCGATTTATATCGCACATGAGGAATCAACTAAACATCCTCTCCTTTTATGTAACTTCGCTCGGAAAGTCTGGACTGAGATTTTGAGAGTGGTGGTTTATGTGGGGTTACTCCAATTTGGAGAAACAAATATGGAAATAACTTTTCTTTGCGACTATTTAAGACTTTATGGACTACACAGGAATGATATCATCTTCAATAGAGCTCAATCTAGTTGGATTAATGTTGTGGATTTGATCAAGATCAGAGCAGCTTTTTGGGTATTCGATCAAACAAATGAATCCAGTTTGTTCTTGGTGAATGATTTTGTCAATAGAAAATATGGTGTAGAAAACTACTATTATTGCCAATCCAAAGCATAAGTAATTAGTACATATGTTTGTAACGTTACATACTAGTACATAATTAACATTTGAATAACAAAGCTTTATGGTAAATATCTAGCATGGACAAGCATTATATGTATAGTTTATACCAACTACATAGTATGCAAAAGTGGTCGGACATCAAACGATAAAGCTGTGCCACTCCCACTATCTAAAAATGCACCTATTCAGGTTGAAGCAACATCCAAAGCCTCTCAGTCAAATCAGTTGTACTGTATTCAACTTCTTATAGTGTTGGTGAATGGTTGAACTTCCTTGTGACATTCTAATTCCTTCCAACTCAACTGCAACATCTTTCATTGTAGGCCTATTCTTTCCATTTAAGTTTAGGCATCTTCTTGCGAGGTGAGCAACAGCAATCATCTCTTCTTTCCGACCCTCTTTGAGAATCCGGGGATCAAGAATCTCAAGTAGACGATTTTCCTGCATTGATTCCATAAAATACGTGACTAAACTCCTACTTTCTTGAGATCTATTGGAAGAGATTGGTTTTTGCCCAGTTAAAAGCTCAACAATAACAACTCCGAAGCTATAAACATCACTTTTTTCAGTAAATTGGTTCGATTGAAAGTATTCTGGATCCAAGTACCCAAAAGTCCCCTGTACTCGTGTGGTCAAATGAGTATTACCAACATCAATTGATGTTGAAGTTCCAAAGTCGGAAACTTTTGCTTTATATTTATCATCCAAGAGTATGTTGGCTGACTTCATGTCTCGATGATAGATGGGTATGGAAGCTGCATAATGCAAGTAGGAAAGAGCTCCAGCAACTTCTGTGGCAATCCGAAACCGCATTTCCCATGATAATGGGAACTCCTCATTTGGATCATGAATATGTTGAGAGAGTGTTCCATTTGAGATGAACTCGTATACTAGTAGAGGAACGCCTGTCTCTAGACAACAACCCAAGAGCTTGACTATATTCCTATGAATAATTTGTGAAAGAACGACGACCTGATTGATGAATTGCTCAACTTTTCCTTCATCCACAACCTCAGACTTTTTAACAGCGATGATTCTCCCATCTGACAACATGCCTTTGTAAACAGTACCTGTTGGAAAATTAATTGGAAGTAAGTGGTTGATTAAAATAAATAAATAAATAAATCTTATTGAAATCAGAGAAAACAAAAAGCCTAAGGCATGAAAATTAATTGGATGTCTGTAAGAAACAAAAAATTTGCCCCCACTCGGTCAACACTTTGGTGTAGATTGCTCTTGGCAATCATTCTTCAAACAAAACTTGTGTTTACAAAGCATTCCCAACAGTACCTTGGCCTCCTTGGCCGAGAATACGATCCTCATTGTAATGATCGGTGGCTTTCTCCAACTCTTTCGAATTGAATAGTTTGATTTTTTCAACACTACCATCACTTGAAGACAACTTGTGTTGTAACAAAAAACCTCCATTTCGCTTGAAGAAAATTTCCTTGCGTTTCTTGTCATTTCTTTTCTTTATTACTTTGTAGAACCACCAAGAAGCAATTAGTAAAAACAATCCTCCAGCTAATCCAGCACAAACACCTATATATTAGCAATCACCACCGTCTATATTAGCAATAAGTACCAAATACTCTAATACAAATTTCTAAGAATAAAATAAAGTAATTTATAAACCGCTTCATAAACTACACGAAACAATCGCTCCATTTCTATGTTTCTAAACACTTGGAATGAAAACGAGCTTACCAATGATAATACCCGCATTTGACTTAGGAGGTTTAATGGACGTATCTGCATACAATTGCAATAAACTTTATCAGAAATTTAAAGCACTTATCAGTCCAAAAAAAAAAAATTGCAAATTACTAGACAATAATCACTCCAATAATGCTAGCTGCACATAATTAGAATACATAATTCGATTTGGTGAACCATTCCTTTAACTGTTCTTTGGTCACTTTGGAAGACTCGCAATGATGTCATCTTCAACAATCATCAACCTATCCTTGAGGACCTGTGTGAGTTAGTCAAGGTCAGGATTGCTCATTGGGTCAAGGCTCACTCGGTTGGTTTACCTTATTCAATTGAGGATTTCATTTCCAATCTGAGCCAGGTTCGCTACTGCAGCCGCTAACTCTGTTGGAGCTGCTTGACTGCTGGCATAATCAGGATATCAGAGGATTTTCTTGGTGGTGAGAAGATATATCAATTATTTTTGTGTTGATGTGTTGGCTGCTCTGGAAGGCTTGGATTGGTTGGAAGCTACTGGATTGGTTGATCATGGCCTGCTGCTGTTTTATCTATGGGTGGACCTGTTATTGCTTTTTGGCCCTATGCTGGTTGCTGTGTTCTGTTTTGGGTTGCTCTAGTCTGGTTCTTTTTTTTGTTGTCTGTTGTTCGCTTTTTTCTTTCTTTTTCCTTGTTGGTTTCCCACCAACCTCAAGGCTTGCTAGTAAATGATTGGGTTTGCTTCGCGGTGTCAATCTAGTTGGGATCGTGAAGTTTTATTGTGATGCTTTTGCACTTCCTCTTCTTTATTGATGTATCTTCACATGTCATGTATGTTTTTATACATCAATAAAGTTGTCTTTCTTTTGCCGACAAAAAAAATAATGCGTACAAAAAATGCTGTGAGTGGGTGAAATTTGTTGAATATAGGAATTAGAATATTTTATTTTTAGTAGATTATATAAAATCTATGATTGTATGAATCACGGATTTAGAGCCTTGTTTATATTATTTCCTAAATTGTATCATGAATATATTTTATATAAATGGTCTCTACCTCATTCATAGGTAAGCCAAACACATTCTCTTCACTTTATTTGGTATCATTTTGAGTATGACCTTTAAAATAAATCTTGGTCAATTTTCTGTATAGATTTTGTTTTCTAATTATGCACCTAACACGACTCTAATCACTCAAATTGCAAATATACATGTAAACAACAGATTTACAAGTAGCTAGTCACCAAGTGAACTGTTTTTAGACGATTTATATTTTAATCCATAGATTTTTTTTTTTTTAAATGTAACTAATCTAGATGTTTCTAAAAGTTTTAAAAATTGACTAAAATATATATAAAAAAAATTTGCTAAAAATATGAGAAAATTCAAACAAAAGTCTATTTTTAGACAGGTAATGAAACAGAAATAAAAGTCATTTTATAACTTTGCTGTGCCAAACACAAATCGCAAATAATTATTTTCTCATTAAAATTTTCTTTTGAGTGGTTCATCAACTTGTCCACAATAAAATTTGCTACTTTTATTGAAAACCAAATTTCAAAAGTCGCAACTCGAGGTAACAAATTTGTATTTAAGATAGCAAAGTACACAATTTCTACTTAAATTTGCTACCTCTCTGGCGATTGAACTGTCACTTCTAGGAGACGCGGGCACTGTTGGCTATAAAAGTAGGGCACCTTCGTGGGTCTAAGATACTTTTTAACTGATAATTGTTTTACTTGTGCCCATATCTTTGAGAGATAAGTTTGTTGACTTGACCGTCGAAATATCCCGAGTGGACGAGCCACTATGGTATTTCTTATCTTTTTGTGAGCAAATGTTTGGCTTGATCTATTCTGCCGCATGGTCTCCAATAAGAAATCTGTTTGATTGTGTAGTCAGAAATTAACACCCACAAGAAGAAAAATTAAGAATTCTAATTATAAGTAATTACTTTTATCAAATTTAAACTTTCAAGTGTTTTTTTACAACTAAAAGCTTAATTACCATATACTATCATGAATTGTATAATAAAATTAAATTTTGTTTTCATAATTTTCACTATTTTCATACTAAATAAACTTTTAAAAAAAATCATTTCCTTCCCTCCCTCACATTTTCATCCTAACCAAATTTAGGGTTTCTTTCCTTCTCATCTATTTCCTCTCTCTTTCTAACATTGCTATTTTTGTGCAGCTTCCTCCTAAGAGCATCTATAATGGCGTAATTAAAAAATTATGTGTTATATAACAAAAAGTAATAAAAATGAGATTTAAAAATGTGTGTTTGTTAATTTTAAAGAGTGAATAGTAGTGTAATAGATTTGTTAAGATGTGTATTAAGAAAATATATACATACACAATTAATAAAATAAATAATAATTAAAAAATACAGTGGGCCCCACTCTACCGCACGGTGTGTCAGCCGCTCTTTCTATTTTTTCTCTTTCTCTCTGGGCTGGCCTTTCTCTCCCTCTGGACTGGCCACAATGTGTGTTAACCGTGACTAGTGGTTTAGCCACTTATACTAAAATTTTTGGGTTTGGCTAACTCATTAACACTTTTATTGTGAGACAAAAATGATTGCGATTGGCTAAAAAATTAGCCACCGATACTAGTACATCCACTAACATATTTATTGTAGATGCTCTAATATCCAATGGCAGACAAAAATGGAGGCATAAAAGTAAGACACATAATGCTTGTCTAAAGTGTTCACTCCTTTATTTTATTTATTTATTTTTTTAACATTCATACATTTCAAATATCAATATAAAGATAATTGCGTAAAGAAAAATGATTAAGGCCTCAAAATTTTGAAGGAATGCTTCGAATTTTTATTTTTTATTTTTTTTTGTGTTGTTTTTTTGTGTTTTTTTTTTAAAGGTTGCTATACGTAAGGTGTGCTAAAAAATTAAATATTTCGCATTAAGGCCTGTGTGGTTTGATAAGGTAATAAAATTGATTGATCAGTTAAGCTGCTGATTAAAATTTATTAATTCTATATAATTTTATACGAGTTCATAATATATTTTTAATCTAAATCAAGAAAACTCGGAAGAAATTGAAATCAAAGCCATTTCAATTTTCTCTAAGTCTTCTTGATTTGAAAAAAAATATAGGAGGGACTCGTACAAAATTGTATGGGATTAATAAATTTTAATCAGTAACCTAACTGATTAGTCAATTTTATCACCAAACCAATCCAACCTAATTGACTCTCCTTATCAAACCACACAGGCTGAGTTGGTGCGGGATTACTAATTTTTTAACACACTCCTACACATAATCATCCTTCAAAAAAAAAAGAAGAACAATTTGATTCGAGGCATTCCAACCTCGAAATTTTGAGGCCTATAGCACCAATTAGACAATCAGCTATTACAAAAATAATCAATTATATTTTAGGTAAATTATCAATAGATACGAATATAATAGTTAGATTTAATTCTAATTAAGTCTTGTTAAAAATAAGTTATAATAAAATCGTGACTAAAAATAATTTTTTTGTAATGAGATTTTACATTTGTCACTAAAAATTGACAATTAGTGACTTTTTTGTAATGATTTTTTATAAATTGTTGCTAAAACTTACAATTAGTAACATTTTTTTATAACAAACTGTTTAAACTGTCGCTGAAAGTTGTAAATTAGTGAATTTTTTATAATAATTCTTTTAAACTGTCATTAAAACTTATAATTGATGACATTTTTTGTGACAATTTTTAAATTATCTTTAAAAATTAATAATTAATGACGTTTTTTAATAGTGTTTAATGAAAAATATCATTAATTATCATAAAACCTATTAAACAAGACCTACACATAAGTCCCACTTATATTGGTTCCCTAAATTTCATTCATAGATGCAATTAAAATAAAGAGTTTTTGTATAATTTTAGATATTTAAATAACATAGATTAGATATTTTAAAATTTTAATTTTTATGTAAGTTAAAACTTTACGAGTGTGTCAAATTCTTAAATTAAAGTCACTTTTACTTATACCTTCATAAATAAATAAATTCCATTCAATAGTTTCCCAAATCTTCAGCCAAAATTTGTTAAAATACACGAGATTTGACTTCGTCAAATATTCCACAACAATCATGACCACATGGAAACCATTTTAGTGATATAGCCCTTGTACGGGGGTCAAATATCGAACGTTATCCGTACTTCTCGTGTCCAAACTGCACGTCACTCTGATCGTCCTGAAAACACAATGTAGGTGAGCTACCCGGTGGTGTGTTGCCTGAAAACCCCTCCGACAGTCAAGTTAGCGCACTTCTAGAGAGAGACAAAAGAAAGGAGACAAAGTGGTAGTTAAGCCCTCACAAGAGGATCATCTCCTTTGGTATGGAAGCACAGCCTCCTTTATATAGTTTTTGCGTGCGCTTTTGTGCCCATTTCCCTTGGGACGCGTGGACCTACTCTCCTCTCATGTTTCCCCACGTGTCAGCGCTAATATAGCTAAACACCACCTAACGAAACCGCCAAATGGTATTGACGCGTATGGACAGCGGAATCCCCTTCTCGCAGTCTCGCGGCGCAACGTAGTGCTCTCCACCAAGCTACGCTTGGCGCAGCGCCACGTCATCACATTCCGACCGTGCTACTTGCCCGTTTTCCTTGATAAATTCTATGCCATGGCTCGACCAACCTCTTCGGCCGAGCTCTTGCTCGGTCCATCCTGATGTCGGGAGGACTAATCCCGTCCAACCTCGTAGAGCGCACATCCCATCCGGATTGGAAATCCAAAGTTGCTCCAATTTGACCGGATTGAGTATTCAGCCCAATGTACACATAACGTCCAACCGAGCAAGGACCTTGACCCCAGCCCAAACCAGCTTGGCCCACACTAGGTCGTAAAACCTCTCTCTCAATTGCCCCTTAATTCCGTCCACTCTAATGTGACCGGGATTATCTTCTCCGGCCGGGGTCACTCATCTGCTCGGCCATCCGCCTCAAATCATTCGTTGAGCTAACCTTTATGCTCAGTCGTGCGATTTGCTCGGTCGACGCTTCAACTTTTCAGCCTGTCTTTTCAAGACTGACGCCAGTCTTATCACAGATACGTGTCCTCTCTCTATTGGCCTCGTACAGCCAACCCAGCTGTCCCATATCATCGTCTCGAATTCAATTTTTTGGCGCCTCTTTCATTTTCATACATATCACCCTTTCGTTTCGTCCTCATTTCTCACTATTCATCTTCTCCATTTTCTGCCTAGCCATTTCCCTCGAACCTAGTGTCACT